TCTCACTGGGGTACAGGGTCCCAATTACACACTGACTCTCACTGGGGCATGGCTCCTGTGAATTGACCGTCACTGAAGTATGGCACACAGAAACACAACACAAAATCCTGCAATTTCCTCCCTCAGGGCATCATGGGTCTACCTACAGCAGATGGATTGCTGCTGTTTAAAAAGGCAGCTCACCAGTACCTACCCAAAGGTAACTAGGGATGAGTAACAAATGCTGACCCACCATGCCCCCCCATTTTCCTGGATGAAAAATGTTAGACAATCAGCATGAACATCAAGCAGCAATGTGGCTAAAGGCAGAATGGAAGAGGCTCAATGAAGATTTTTCAATTATTTTTAATCCATACACATCAGTGATTCCAACAATTTGTGATGAATGGGGCCCTGATCACCTGCATCAACCAATCAGGCCATTTTAACAAAGGTTGTGAGATTGCAGGCTCAGAGTCCCAGTGATAACGAATACTCTGGTGAATGTGGACAGGGAGACGCAGCAGCAGAGGGAGGGGGGAGGTGAAGTGATGGAGTGGGTGAGTGCGGAGGTGTGGAGCTGGGTCTTGAGGATAGTGGAGGGGAACAGGAGAATGGAGATGGTGGGGGAGGGGAAATGGGGTGGAGGGGGAATGCTGTCTGGGGGAATTGAGAGTGGGTGAGGATGGGACGGGGATAAAAGGGATTTTCGGAGAAGGAGATGGAGGGGAAATGGCCTTGGCTGGGGAGGGGTATGAGAAAGTTGGGGGGAGGGGTGGGGAGTGGGGTAGGGGTGGTGCTCTGGGAGTGCAGTGTTTACACTGATCGAGTCTCAAACCTGGAACAAGGTGGAATTAAGTCTATTCATGAAGCCCCTTCTATAGCGAACCCTCCTGACTTACGGGAGTGTGTGTGTCAGATAGTTACTATCGCCATCTCCAGTGTCGCAGTATCTGCCCCAGATCGTGAGGGGATAAAGGCCGGGTATAAATGACTCCGAGTTAAACATGCAGCTTGAACCAGGTGCCCCTTCATGGGGTGAGCCAGACAGATGATGGGACCCCAGGGTCAGTTCCCTGATAGAACAGAGTTACTGATAGAGCCAGATTGCCAAGAAATACTGGGGTATGGCACAGTCATACTGGGCATTCTGGGGTTACACAGCAGGGAATATTGTGTGGTACTGGGGTTTCTGAGGTTACCCAGCAGGGGAGAGCTCTGTTATACTGGGGTTTCTGGGGTTACCCAGCAGGGGCAGAGCTCTGTTATACTGGCGTTGATTATTCAGCTGATTTTATCTGGACTGATGGATGGCCGTTCTAGAACTTTCCATTAAACAAGACCCAGACATTAATTAAACACTGGGTTCCAGGTAATTGGCTGGAGTGTGCATCATCCTGCAAGACACAAATTTGTTCCTAACCTGACAATCTCACTCTCTCTGTCCCATGTAACTCATACGCCAGGCCTGACCAATCAGAATGGCAGTGCCAATGGCCTAAAGTCCATTTTGGTTTTGACGTGGCAGAGAGGGGGCTGAGAGACCCTTTAATCCTGGAGATACTCGGTGAAGTACAGTACCCACACACAGAGCCATTGGGAATAATAGACACTAGAATCTTCACCAGAACAAAAGAAAAGTTATTGATAAAACAATACAAAATAGTTTCCATAAACCACTATGGGGGCAACTGACTATTTGGTTTCTAATTAAATGCTTTAAATAAATGCATATAAATATTTTCTCTTTTTTTCCTTGTGATCCCCTTTTTCCAGTTTCACAATGTAATAAGAGTACAGATATCCGAATGTCACTTTCCTAAATCACAGTCTCTGTACTCTTCTTTTCTAACCAGAAACGGCATCTCCTCAGCAGCAACCACTGGCAGGAACGCTGTATTTTCACCTGCTCGTTCCTCGCACTCGTTGATCAGTTCATAGTCCTCCACCTTGCGACTGGCAAACGCCAGGATCTGGATCTGCTGCTGTGTGGTCTGTAGCAACGCCTCCACTTGCTGGCTGTCTGCCTGATGGCCTGGGGAACCGGGGCCACTGAGAGGAACCAGCTCAGCAGGATAGCAGTGAGGCTGATGCTCAGGGCTGTCAGGATCCGGACTCTCCTTTGGCACCTGGACACAACTCTTCTCTTCCACCGAAGGGTTTACAGGCAGTGAGGCTGCCCAGCAATAAGGAACCACTTGGCTCTCCTTGAACTGCAGAGCACAGAGCTGGATGGCTTGATGGCAGTGTACAGGCTGTATAACATTAAGGGAATTCTCAGGAGATTTCCAACAAGTGACTGTCGGTCTAAAAGGTAATAAGAATTGATGAACATGTATCAGGCAGTGGATAATGAATCTTCACAGTATGTAGGAGACACACTGAGTAACACGCAGGGAACTGACAAAACCTACCCTTGGTTGTTGTCTGCGCAATCACCCTTGGATGAAGCAAGTTGTGCCTGTATCTGGCTGTTTGCACTGACAGACGACGAGTCAGAGGGTTCAATAACAGCACTCGATGATCCCTGTGCTACTGGCGGTGATGGTCCTGGACTGACCTTTGATGACAATCTGCCCAGTTGTCTCGGACTGAGGGATGAGGATGGACAATACCTGTGGTTAAAGAGAAGAAAGATTAATGTGGTACATTGCAATGCCAAGGCAATCAAGGCTATGGGCCAAGTGCTGGGAAATGGGATTTGAACAGTTAGGTGCTTGTTTTTGACCAGTGCAGACATGATGGGCTGAAGGGCCTTTATTCTGTGCTGTAGACCTTTCTGATTCTATGGTCACTAACACAATGAGGGATGAATCCTGGATTTGTGAGGAAATGCAGAGAAAGGTGTAGCATCAGGAACTGTGTCCCTCCAGCAGCTCCCTCCAACATATGGGGGAGCACGGTGGCTCAGTGGTTAGCACTGCTGCCTCACAACATCAGGGACCCAGATTTGATTCCACCCTCAGGTGACTGTGTGTGGAGTTTGCACATTCTCCCTGTGTCTGTGTGGGTTTCTCCTGGGTGCTCCAGTTTCCTCCCACAGTCCAAAGATGTGCAGGTTTGATGGACTGGCCATGCTAAATTGCTTATAGTGTCCAAGGATGTGCAGACTGGTTGGATTAGCCATGGGAAATGCAGAGTTACTGGGACTGGATAGGATGCTCTTCGAAAGGTCGGTGTAGACTTGATGGGCTGAATGGCCTGTTTCCACATTGTAAGGATTCGTATGAAACATTCCCCAGAATAGCCTTTGCTTTGTTTCCTGTTTAGTGACTGGAAGGAGCTGTCATTCCTAACTCCCTCATACACTGCATTTCAGAGATAGGGGTGGGAGGAGGAGATTGAGGGCAAAGGGGGAGGGTGAGAGGGAGAAAGGGAGAGAGGAGGAGTAGGAGTTTGGGACACAGGGGTTGGTTCAATGAGGTAGAATGAGGGGTGAGGTCTTGTATCAAGAATTTATGGAGCTAGGCAGTAGATTAAAGAGTAGGACCACAAAAGGTTGTAATTTCTGGATTACTCCTGGTGCCTAGGGGCAGCAAGTACAGAACTAGGAGAACACAGCAGATGAAGGTGTGGCTCAAGAGTTAGTGCAGGGCTGGGGTGGGTGGTGAGGTGGGGGGGTTGGTAGTTGATTCCTGGATCATTGGGACTGTTTCTGGAGAATGGTGTAAAGGGTTTAGAGGTGGCAGAGTCCTGAAATGTATTCAAGAGCTTAATACATCAACGTGTAGAAAGTCCAACCAGGGATGGTGCTGAGCTGGATCTGACTCTGGGGAATGAAGCCAGACAGATGCTCGATGTGATAGTGGGGGAGTATTGTGATGAAAGTGACCACAACACCATACGTTTTAAATTTGTAATGGAAAAGGAAAAATGATGGTCATTAACAAAGGGTTTTGGACTGGGGGAAGGCAAATATAATTAAAATAATGCAGACGTAGCCAAAGTAAGCTGGGAAGATCTACTTGAGGGTCAATCTACAGCAGGACAGTGAGTAAGGGGTGGGGAAAGGTGTTCCAAAAGGAGACGGGAGAGAACAGGCCTAATATGTTCTCTTCAGGGTGAAATGTAGAAGCAACAAGCCCACAGAACCCTGGATGGCCTGGACAATACGGGCTAAAAAAGAACAGAGGCTTTTAAGTGGTATACAAGGAGCAAATCAGTGGAGGCCCTGGTGGAGTATAGAAAGTGCAGGAAGAAACTTAAGAAAGCAATTAGGAGAGCAAAGAGGGGTCATGAGAAAAACACTGGTAGGTAAAACTAGGGAGGGAGAATCCCAAGGTATTTTGTAAGGACATCAAGGGAAGAAGATAACTGGGGAAAGAGGAATGGCCATTAGGGACCCAGGGGAAATCTGCATGTGGAGACAAAGAACGTTAATATAGTGACAAACAAGTACTTCACATTTGTCTTCACTTTGGGGAAGGAGGATGTGAGTGCAGAATTCAGGAAGAGGGACTGAGAGGCTTTTGAGTAGCATGACATGGGGAGTGAAGGGGTTTTAGAGGTTTTGGACAAAGGAACTGAGGGAAATGTTGCAAAATTTACTGATGACATAAAGATAGGTGGAAGGACAGGTAGAGTTGATGAAGCGGAGAGGCTGCAGAATGACTTGGACAGGACAGGGGCAGAGAAATGGCAGTCAGAAGTACAATTTTGGAACATGTGAGGTTATGCATTTTGGTAGGAAGAATAGAGCAGTAGACTATTTTCTAAGAGGGTAAAGGCTTCAGAAATCACAAAGGGACTTTGGATTCTCTTAAAGTTAACATGTAGGTTCAGTTCCCAGTTAGGAAGGCAGATGAAATATTAGCATTCATTTTGAGAGGGCTAGAATACAAGAACAGGGATGTACTGCTGAGGCTGTATAAGGCTCTAGTCAGACTGCATTTGGAATATTGAGTGCAGTTTTGAGTCCTGCATCTAAGGAAGGATGTGCTGTCCTTGGAGAGGGTCCAGAGGAGGTTTACAAGAATGATCAAAGATGTGGGGCTTGTTATATAAGGAGTGGTTGAGGACTCTGGGTCTGTACTTGTTGGAGTTTAGAATGTTAGGAGGATCTCAGTATTACAGAATACTGAGAGGCTTGGATAGAGTGGACATGGAGAAGATATTTTCATTAGTAGGAGACACTAGGACCTGAGGGTACAGCCTCAGAGAGAAGGGACTACCCTTTAGAACGGAGATGAGATGAGAAGTGACAACCCTTTAGAACTGAGATGAGGAGGAATTTCTTCAGCCAGAGGGTGGTGATTCTGTGGAACTCATTGCCACAGAGGGCTGTGCAGGTCAAGTCATTGAGTGCATTTAAGATAGAGCTAGATCGGTTCTTGATTAGTAAGTGGGATCAAAGGTTACAGGGAGAAGGCAGGAGAATGGGGTTGAGAAACATATCAGCCATGATCGAACGGCAGAGCAGACTTGATGGGCTCTCTTCTGCACTCTATGATTCTACAAGCGTCACCCTCTTTCAATAACCGTTCCAGATTTTGCTGCAACGCCTTAAAACAGGAATCAGACCGTGTCTCCAAACTGGGTCTTAATCTTCCTCCTCTATATCTCTTACCCCAGTCAGACACTCCTGGTAACAACTGACTAAAGCTGGAAATTAATTTTGAAGCTTGATCAAGGCTGACACAACATTGCCCTCATATGCAGCTATGAATAATGTAAAAAAGAGCTTTATTCTGCATCTAAAACCCCATGTTGTACCTGTCAAGGGAGTGTTTGGTGGGAACAGTGCACAGAGAGCTTTACTCTGTATCTAACCTTGTGCTGTCCCTGTCCTGGGAATGTTTGATAGGGACAGTGTAGAAGAAGCTTGATTTAATAAAGTCAGTACAATGTGCTGAGTTAAGCTTGGTTTAAATATTTCCAACATGATATTACCTTTGCTGCTTTCCGGTCGGGTTGCTTAATGACGGTGTGTTACTTGGAGAGGATCCCGCACCTGAAAACTTTGATTCCAGAACTTTGCATCTTCTTCCATCAATGCAACTGTTGGACTTTGTGAACTGAAAAATAAAACACCACCACCTCATATTGTCAGAGTCATTTACCCAATGGCTATAAATTGTGAGCGAGTTGCTGATGCATGAAGGGGAATTACGTGGTTACTCTAAGTACAAGCTGCCACTTTCTATTCTTCCAGCTACAGCTGACAGAACTCTGTGCCTTTCCCTATAGTCCAGCACCTTCCTTTCATCCAATCTTTTAAATCTTTACATCTACTTTTTGCGAAATTTATTGCAGCAGTGAAAGTGAACTCTTGCTGAAATGACTTTGCTGCTTGAATGAGGCACTTCTTCACTGCACTCACTTCCAGGAATATTGCAATAATGTGGGGATTATATTCTGGTTCTCAATCTTCATGTGTCAGTGCTTACATGGGAGGGAATGTGGTTTATATTAATATCAAGGCTACATACTGCTATCATGTGATAATGGTGTGACTGAGAGGCTTTACACAGAGTCACTGCCAACCACCTTTTTATAGGTCTAAGTTACTGGCACCATGTAGGAAGGATGTCCACCAAAAGTTTTTGGCAGAGGATAGGCTTAATATTGATGAACAGTAAATATATTTCTCAGGTAAGAGCTGGTTACATCACACCTGAGGTACATGTTGTCGCTCGTGGGATATCAGATTCAGCTGAAGAGTAAACTTACATTGTTGTTAGGTGCAGGGCTTAGCACTGGAAATAAAGAGACCCTGCAAACACTGAGGAAGACCTCTGAGCTCCTCCCAGGAACAGGCTTTATATCCTAATAGGTGGAGCTCATCTCATGTTGTTAGTTAATCTTTTCAGGTACTAACTGTTTTGCACAACAACTTTAAACAGCAACAAAAACAGAAATTGCAGGAGAAACTCAGCAGGTCTGGCAGTAGCAGTGGAGAGAAAGCTGAGTTAACGTTTCAGGTCCAGTGACGTTTCCTCAGAACTTTAAATGGCAACTTGCAGCTTTCCTGAAGCTAGGATAGAAGTTCAGGTAGCTGACTGCTTACGGAATATCCTTGCGTTAACTGATGTTGGTTGATCCTATTATATCGCTTTGATCTAATGCAGAGCCATCCTGTCTCAGGAGCTGTCTTTTATTCAGTTAGTGCCTGCTTACATTTTCCAGCTGTAACACATTCTGTTGGGGATTATTGGCAGTGGACAGTTCTGGAGTATTCAGACTGTAACTCTTCCCAAAACGGATCTCCTTAGCCTGATCACGCAGTTTTTGTCTTTGTTTCCTGTTATAATAGAAAACAAAAAAGATTTTATTGCCACACAATAATCTTTAATCTGTTTACAGTGAGAGCTACAAATCCACATGTGCTATACTCTACACCTGATATCATCCAAAACTGTGCTTCCCATGTTTTAACTCTCTGCTAATCCTGTTCCCTGTCATTCCTGTACTCACTGACCAACCACTCCTTTCAAGCAACGTCTGGATTTTAAAATTCTCATCTTGCTTTTAAATTCTTCCATGGCTTCACCGCTCCCTTTCTCTGTAACCTCCTTTAGCCCACACCCCACTGAGATCTCACCACTCCTCTCGATCTGGTGTCTTGTTTTTTAATTTCCCTACATTGGTTGTCTGGGACAAACGCCTGAAATTCCCTGTCTGCCTCACTTTGCTCCTTTAAACGTTCAGAGAAACCTAACCCTATGTTCTTCTGACCTCATTTCTCCCAAAGGGGCTTAGTGCCACATTTTGTTTAATAGTGATCCTGGGAAGACCATGGGATGGATGATCACATTAAAGGTGTTATACAAACCTAAGTTGTTGTTGGTGCACAATTCACACTGGCCAAAGGTAAATGAATCAGTCTGTCTGTGGGAGTGGGGAGTAGGGAGTTGAGGGGAGACAGCAAGTGGAGGAGCATCAGAACAATACCTTCCAGGTGGAAACAGTCCTACAAGCTCTGGGCAGATTAAAATTAAACAGTAGACTCACCCTGACCATTCCAATCCCAGTTAGTGAGATTAAGATACTTACTAAAGCACGGCAGTTCTACATAACCCACTAAAACTGCTCCTGTCTGCAACAGAGAACAAAGAACAATCCAGCTCAGGAACAGGCCCTTTGGCCCTCTAAGCCTGTGCCGCCACATTTGCCCTTCCATCCTAAAACTGTTTTCACTTACAGGATCCGTATCCCTCTATTCCCTTCCTAGCCATATATCCATCCAGGTGCTTCTTGAATGCTGCTCTAGTGTCTGCTTCCACTACCTCCTCAGGCAGTGCATGCCAGGCACTCACCACCCTTTGTGTGTAAAACGTGCCTTGCACATCTCTTTTAAACTTCTCCCTCACACCTTGAATCTGTCCCATGGTAATTGACCCCTCCACCCCGGGGAAAAAAAACATCATACTTCCCACTGTATCCGTGCCATTCACAATTCTATAAACTTCTATCAGGTCGCCCCTCAACCTCCTGTGCTCCAGTGAAAATAAACCCTGTCTTATCCAACCTTTCTTCATAGCTAAAATCCCCCATACCAGGCAACATCCTGGTAAACCTTTTCTGTACACTCTCCAAAGCATCCACATCTTTCTGGTAGTGTGGTGACCAGAACTGTATGCAATATTCCAAGCGTGCGCTAATTAAAGCTCTATAAAGTTGCAGCATAACTTGTCTATCCTTATACTCAATGCCCCTTCCAATGAAGGCAAACAAGCCACAGGCCTTTTTTACTACCTTGTCTACCTGCGCTGTTACCTTCACTGATCTGTGGACCCACACACCCAGATCTCTCTACATATCAATACTCCTAAGGGTTTGTCATTCACTGTATAACTTCCACCTGTACGAGACCTTCCAAAATGCATCACCTCACATTTGTCCAGATTAAACTCCATGCGCTATTTTTCTGCCCACGCCTCCAACTGATCTATATCCTGCTGTATCCTCTGACAATCTTCCTCACTATCTGCAACTCCACCAATCTTTGTATCATTCACAAACTTATTAATTACACCAGCCCAGTTTTCCTCCAAGTCATTTACGCAGATCATGAACAGCATAGATCCGAGCACTGATCCCTGTGGAAAACACCATTAGTCACAGCCCTCCATTCTGAAAAACATCCTTCCACAGCTACCCTCTGTCTCCTATGACTAAGCCAGTTCTGTATCCAGCTCACCCCGATACCATGTGACTTCACCTTTTGTACCAGTCTGCCCTGATGGACCTTGTCAAAGGCTTTACTGAAGTCCATGTGGACAACATCAATCACTTTTCCCTCATCAATCATCTTCGTCACCTCATCAAAAAACTTGATCAAGTTAGTGAGGCATGACCTCCCCCGCACAAAGTCATGCTGTTTATTGCTAATCAGTCCATTTGCCTCGAAATGTGTATAGATCTTGCCCTTGAGAATCTTTTCCAATAATTTCCCTACCACAGACATGAGGCTCACAGGCCTGTAATTTCCTGGATTATCCATGTTACCCTTTGTAAACAATGGGACAGCATTAGCTATTCTCCAGTCCTCTGGGACCTCATCTGTGGCAAAAGAGGATACAAAGGTGTCTGTCAATGCTCCAGCAATTTGTTCTCTTGCCTCCCTTAATATTCTGGGATAGATCCCATCAGGTCCTGGGGACTTATCTATCTAAGAATGTAACCTGCCAGAGGACATTACACCAATAGTTACGATCAGGGAGAATGCCTGGGAATTATTCAGACAATGTGTTCAACAATCCACACTATAGCAATCCTCAGAAAATCTCCTGAACCATTCCACATGGAACACAGCCCAAGATACCAGGTTATGGTCAATGAAAGGATGACGGTTTTAGATGGGCTTTAGTCAGGCAATGACCAACTGTTAAACTGCCAAGATTTCAACTTTTGAAAGATGAAGAAAACCACAGAATAAAATTGACAGATGAAATCATGGGCAGAGGGAAAGAGAGTGAGGAGATAATGAAATTCTCAGTGGGATGAGCTCATAGCAGGGGGTGTAAATCTGGAGAGCTGAAGTTGGTTGATCCCAGCGAGGTTTGAACTGTCAGACGAAGCTACAATTTAACTAAATGTAACAAACACAAACCTTCACAATTCACCTGAAACTTCAACTTCTTAAAAACTCTTCATTGTGTTGACAAAGGAAAATGGGAGCAGTTTGGTGAAGATAGTTAAGGTGGTGTTTATTTGGTGTCTGTTGATTCTGATGACAGCCTCCTCCTTTCCATGTGTCAGGAGACCTGAATATTTCTCCCCACGGATTTGTGTTTCTCTTACCCACTCCAGCAGGTACAGGAGACGCTCCACTTGAAGTAGATCCCTTAACTGTTCAAACAAGTGAACTTCATGTTTCCAGTTTGAGGGGGAACATGGCGCTTACACAATGTCCTCAACAAACAACACAAATAACGGAAACTATTGTGGCCCTGCTCAATAAACAAAGACAGAAACTGCTGGAGAAACTCAGCAGGTCTGGCAGCATCTGAGAGAAAGCAGAGTTAGTGCTGACTCTAGTGAAGAGTGCCCGGACCCGAAACATTAACTCTGCTTTCTCTCCATAGATGCTGCCAGACCTACTGAGTTTCTCCAGCAGTTTCTGTTTTTGTTTCAGATCTCCAGCACCTGCAATTCTGTGTTTTATTTCCATAAAAAAAGGGTCAGCTGAGCCAGGAAAGATCACACATTCCCTGCAAGGATACAATCGACATTTCCAGTAAATCCATCCTCTCAGATCAAGAAGCCTAAACAGCATTTCCTACACTCCTACCTCCAATGGGCAAGGGAAATATCTTTCCACTCCTTGTGATTTTATTCCAGTCAATGAATCTCAATGTGACTTTCACTGGTTCTCAGCTACAGTAGGTTCTGAGGGAGGAATCTCTAAGTGTATCAGGAACTCGCCTGTCACAGTCAATAGGGGGGTCAGGATTATCAAAATATCCTTACAGAAAGTTAAAGCTCTAATCCAAATGGCTAAAATATACGCTGCAAGATGTTAGATGAGCCCAAACACCAAACCCCTTCCTGGGTATCAGTACTAATTAACTCATAGCCACTTCCAGAACTGTTAAATCCAGATTCGATGGTTATTTATCTCTCTGCTACAGTTCACTGAAGAGCAAGAGCATGATCCAAATGTAATGCAATATATTTCAAATGAATGGTACTGAGTCATGAGAAATTTGATCATTGTGACCCGGTGAGCTAGTAGCACAATGTAAAGTTACAGGCCTGAAATTTTCAAAATGGGAATGTACAGATCTCACCAACCCCTCCTGAGTCCATGGATACAGGATGGGATAGTGTAGATCTCCACTACAGTGAGTAACATTCACTGAGGTGTTTGCGTTCAGTAGCACAAATATCCCAGTGTTATCATTCAACTCAGTTGGATGCTTGCACGTTCTATATCCACCTGTGAAACTGATAATGACAGCTGGCTCGATGACCACCCTGCTACACTCAGGAATAACGTCATTATTTTCATGAGTTCAAAACAATGCTTCTTTGATCCTCTAGTGTGACAAATAAGAAGCCCATTTTTAAAAGTTTACTTTGTCTCTGAATGGAAGAGTAATTTTTTCCACTGAGGTTCACAATTACAAAGATTAGATTCAGAAAGACAAACTACAAAGCGCCAGGTTCAAACGGGAATCTTCTCATTGAAGCTTTAAGTGAAGGGAAACCAACATGATTTCCCTGTTGACCCGTACCACAGTGAGAGTAAGTGTGTGTGTGGGACCCCGTACCCCAGTGAGAGTAAGTGTGTGTGTGGGACCCCGTACCCCAGTGAGTGTCAGTGTGTGTGGGAGCCGTACCCCAGTGAGAGCCAGTGTGTGTGGGTGGGACACCATACCCCAGTGAGAGTCAGTGTGTGTGTGGGACCCCGTACCCCAGTGAGAGTAAGTGTGTGTGTGGGA